TGTCTGTATCACTGTTTTGTATTTCTGGTCATTTTTGAAATTTAAAATCATACCTAACCAGTGGCGTACCCAGGATTTCGGCTCAAGAGGGGGGGGGGGGGCGCGGCAAAAATTTTTTTCAAATGAATGTGCGTGGCGTCAGCCACGCACTCCCAAAATTTTTTAGGGGGGCTTCTCAAAATTTTTGCGGGCCTCCAACCCTTAAAACCTGGAAAAAGGGGGCGTGGCATCAGAAACGCCCCCGAAAAAAATTTTTTAAGGCTAATTTGAATTTTTAAAAAATTTTGAAAATCGTTTTAATTTTTTACAAAAATAAACAAGTCACTTGCACATTTTTATAGCTCATTTGAGTAACTTTCAGAAATTTCGCGATCCGTTCTCGGGCCCCCCCCCCCTCGGTACGCCACTGTACCTAACTGATCTTATCAGCAATATTGGAATTCTAAATCGACTCGATTTTAAGCTACTTTCTTAGATAGTGCAATGCTTTCTGCATATCAAGTAGCTTTTTGATCCCCAAAAATAGTGAATTTGCACAGCTTAAAATCAAGTTTCGGATGACAGAAGTTTGACGCTCCCGCTAATACAGTAACGCCATTTGTAAATTATAATGTGGCTGCACACTATGCCCGATATCCCACGACTTGTGTGCTGATAAGTTGCAAATTTCCAGGACTATGTTCATTACATCATGAGTAGAAGGCGCAAGGAGCTGTGAGTAATTATTTATGGACATCTCGCTCCACTAAACAATTTCTTGACGTTTCAAATATGGAAGTCGTCAGTTAATGTGTAAAGGCTGCAAATTCACACAATAATCGTAAATGAAAATGACTGTATTATATGTCGTTACATGGGACATTCTATATGGCACATATACGCAGTCTCGGAATTTATCGCCATGTGGACTCGTTTGTAACTTACATGTACTGCAGACCATGCGCGTTACTTCACGACATGTGCGGTTCCATTTGTCATTTTGGAAAATTTTCTTTAATATCTCTAGGTTGAGTACATGCAAGTGCGGTAATATGTAGGTGTTCAGTTCTGACCAATTTATTTGCATCTTAGTCTTACTTACAATAATTTTGACCAACAATAATAGCTCATGGGGTCCTAGGTGGAATGCGCAAAACCCACATCTTCAGATGAGGGCCACCAAGGAAGTCACTTACCCTGCCTAGAAACTCAACAAAAGTACTTGTTACGTATAGGAATCATTTTTTTCGGAATTGGATTGATACGGTCTAATCACCTCTTCGCTTCACTCTTCACTCTTTAAATTTGTTTCTATGAGTCCCGTGCGGAATGCGCAAACTCCTACAGCGTTCTTTTAGGTTGTTCTTTTTTTCTGCGGGATAAGATGTGTAACTTATCCCAGTTACCCATCCAATCGTGCGCATTACTCGACGAAGAATGTTTGGCATCCAAAAATTCAACCTTGGCGGTGAGTGATGCCGGTGCACTTCAGAAAGCGTTGACGATGCTGCCATTCACCGTTGTGAATGGATTTGCTCAAAGGGTGTGTGCATTCCACGCTCTGACCGGCGCTCTCGGTCATGTCGTAAGTGATTTACGGTCGCGTAACCTAACCGTAACCTTTGGTAAGTATTTGTGCTCCATTCAGAGTTGAATAGCCGTTGCCGCTGCGCATCACTCGCCGCGGCGCTCTCGCGTCACCCGAAAAGCACGTCAAGGTTGTAATCGTATGGCTAAAGACAACATTCCCAGCATTTGTTCGTCGCCCCGCTTCGTATGCGTGCGTTCATGTCGAGGACAACCGGGGCGAACGAATGTAAGGCGCGTAGAAACACAAGCGTGGCTCCCGAGGACATCGCCCTCGTCCCGGCACGCACGCAACCGCGCGCACAACGCAATGAGCCGTGCCATTGCTAGGCGCTATTATAGCGCAGAATCATAGCCGCAAACTAGGTCAGTAATGGCGCCATCAGGCGCTCCTCTTTAGCAGTTATACGTTTGACCAAAAATTTGACAAGGAATTATATCAGGCATTACGCGGTTATTCGAACTCAAGGACGGCATGCGGTTATGGGTTCTGTGACGCTTATTCCGGTCATTGCTCCGTTCAATTCATGGCAAAATCGCCCATTATATATCACACAGATTCAGAAGTGCTCCTCAGCACAAATGAAAAATGTTCATTCACGGGTAGTTACTCCTTTACACAAAAGAGTCCCAAACGATTTGTGGCGTTCCTTAACACAAATCAGATTGCGATGGTGTACGGGTAACTGAATTTGCGTGCAGTCACACGAAAATGAAGTGACAGTATGACAAAAAGACGATAGCACGTTTATTGAGTAGAAATCACTGGGCAGAGGAAATAAATAGACTTTACTCATCTGATGTACTTCAGGAAGAGGGTGTGGGGAGGGGAGGAAGAAGGAAAATACTATGTTTGTACTCACAAGGGAAGGAAGGTTGGTCGAAGTGGCCTTTTAAATTGAGGTGTACACTGCCTTGTAGAGTTTGGAACGCTGATTCCAAATCTACCTTTGCTATCTGCTGCGGACTTCTGGGCGAGGAGTTATGAAGGTTTTTGTGAGTAAAAATCTGAATGCAAAAATAGGGTAAAATCACTCGTAACCTTTTCCCAATGTTCAAATGAGGCAGCAGCGTATTGGTATATTTAAATCAAGAATATTTTTTGCAGCGAGTGATCCGACTACCAATTAAGCCCTATAAAAAATGCTACGACTGATTTTAGCCTACTCTTGCATTCAGATTTTTACTCACAAAAACCTTCATAACTCCTCGCCCAGAAGCCCGCAGCAGATAGCAAAGGTAGATTTGGAATCAACGTTTTAAGCTCTACAAAGCAGTATACATTACATTCCAAAAGGCCTCTTCGACCAACCTTCCTTTCCTTGTCAGAAGAGAAAACAATTAAGAACTTCCAAAGTTAGTCTGCCAGAGCTCAAAAGTCGCAACTGATGCAAATGTCTGAGCGAAATTATTTTACAGACGTCATTATGTCTTCACATTAAGATAAAGCATTGCATTGACGCAGCTACGGTATGCGTTGCAGATTAGGTATGAGTAATGTGCCCTAACCATTCCTGTCCAAAAAGCGAAGCTCAGTTTGCTCTTTGGTGCAAAAGCTAGCACTTCGAGACTTTCTCACAATTTAAAGGTTCGACATAGCGATAACGGAATGCTTTATAAGCAGTACTTTATGGGCAGCGAATAACTCAGTAACGAAGAAAAGTAATTGAGAATCTATCTACCACAAAACGCTTATTTTCGGCTACCATAGAAAACTAACCTGTTGTCCGGCAGAACATAATCAAATTCCTAAAGTTGTATAAGCACTAGTTTAGCGGAGAGAACTCCAAATAGCAAGTTTTGAACGAGATCTACATAAAACACGAAGCCAAAACGCTAACAACTCTGATCCGATGAAACAGCGTCTTCTAATCTAACATAAGTTGATTTCGATCAGAAAACTATCGTAAGCTTCTTTTCTCGTCCAGACAACTGGCTCTTAGTCATACATTCTGGAGTTTCCCGTTTTAAATTTTCATACTTTGATGAAACTGCAAGTATGCGTTCATCGACAGTTCTCAGTTACCGCTTTTTCGTCCTTTTAATCTCGAATTTTCGTAATTTCTATAATTTTCTTTGTATTGTGCCAACAACACAAAAATTTCAACAACATTCCCAGCCGGCCCTCGAAGTAAAGTCCTTCCTCTTTAGAATCAATCAGATGCCGGCCATGTACACACTACTAACATCATTCACTTTAAGCAAACTTAGATTTAATATAAAAAAGTGATTTTTATGCGTACTTTATCCATGAGAATGAAGTGTTTACAGAGCCTAGAACGAGTTGGAAACTTTCGAAGTGATTAAATCTGAGAATCATGCTCTCAAATCCATCTGCTGAGTTAGAATTGACGATAACCAGTTCGGTGAACCTCTTCACCTTGTGCGTATTACAACACGTAAGGTTCTTATCTCAGCAATAGAAGTTTTTGCTATGACTGTGGTCAAGGAAACGCGTCTGTATGCCTTGAAATTTTGTGCAAGTTTGTGGGGATTTTACAGTGACTCGGGTAATGCAACTTTTTCTCATACTCTCGTCCAAGAGCCAACACGTGAACTCGTCCATGGGAGTGACCATCATCATTGACCATGGAGCACGTCTTAAAGTGCGAAAACTTAAGGGCAAGGACGATGTTGTCCTTGTCGAATGGCTAGGTGATGCTCACTCGAAACCCTAACAATACAACGGTAATGGCCCTAGCCCCATACATACACACTAAGGGCTCACCAGGGTGACAGTACGATTACGCAACATCGTAGAGTGACAGAATGCCGGCGTGTTAATTACCTGGGAGACGGGCAATTTTTTTTCGCAATTCATGCCATTCACACAAGGGCAAGAAGGGGGGAGGGGGAGGACTGAATCAATCGATAATCGATCACAGAGTTACAGTAACCAGGTAATTATTTTTGTTTACCCATGTCACAACATTCGACAACTCGGTCAAGTATTACACGCTGAAAGTGCATTGAGATGTGAGATTTTGGGAAACAACTATTGTGCTCTATATTTAGACGACCTTAATTCGACTATACCAATGTTTACAAGGAACTAGTCTGCAGTTGCGGACATGTTAGACATAGGTAGTAGAAATAAAGAGTTTGAGAGTTTGGAAACTTCGAAGTCCAAGTTTAGGGGTGGGTGCATCGTTAGGCTAAGGGGAGAAAACGTGCCTTCCAGGAAACTTTTGAGGGGAGGAGGAATTTTTACTCCATAAATAGGGGCTTGGCAAAGTTTTTCGTAAGCCTGCCACATCTCCGCAAAAATTCTGCAACTCTGTACAATTTCATAATTATTTTTGTTACTTAGATGAGCTAGAAAACATAAATTCAATTTTTCAACAACAAATTGGCTCAAAAAAAACGAAAGATTGTGTGCTTTATTAGAAAAAAGAGTTTTAATAATGTTAATAACAAATGCTATCATTAAGCTGCTAAAACTTGGTAGATCTGAATGGGCACGGACAGTATGTTGCATCTCTTCCGGGGACACCTGGGCGACCAGGAGGTCCAGGTTGTCCTGAAAATAAAATTTCTGATCTTCTAATATGACACGGATAGTGAAAATTAGCAGGAGCTAGTGTTCTAGACCATTTTTGGCTATTTTCAGATTGCTGATTTGCTAATTTGAAATTGTACCTTATGTGTTAACATTTTGTTGTGCTTTCAAGATTTCTAGATATTACAATTTGTTTTCAAAATCCTTCTAAAAATAAAATCGGCTTTTTATAGTAAAAATTAAATAATGAAAAATTAGCATTTGAGCGGCTTCCTTATATGCTATGGGCGAACTATTGTATATTAGGTTGAACCAAAGTCCTGTCCTTTGATTTTAAAAAATTCGTAACTGCTCCCTATGTGAACGCACTTGCCAATAAAAATATCACTAGAAAAAAATTCATTCACTTTCTATTAGTATCTTTGCGGTTCTTTGAGAGCAGGGCAATTCAGAGATAAAAATTCAAAAATGAGAACAACCTAAACTCCCGATTTTGAAAAAGAAATCGTTAAAAATCTGAAACGGTGCAAAAAAATCTGGGAGCACGTTTCTTGTAAGTTTTGTGAGCTGCTCTTTCTAAAAGTGCCAAGTTTGTGCCGATCGAGCTTTTCTATAAAAGTCACGATTTTCGTAAAAAGGCAAAAAAAAACAGCAAAAATGATGTTTTTTGCATTTTTTCAGAAGTTACGAATTTTTGGAAATCAAAGCGACAGAATTTTCGCTTCAACCTAACCGCAAATCATTTGTCATTTATTCATTCTACGAATTTATTCACTTTATTTACTCTTTGTTTCCAGCTGTGTCACCTCTACAATAACCTTCTTGACCTTTGATTAACGCGCGCAGGTAACAATTGCGTGATGTGAGATACCAATCAGCCATGAAGCCATGCTCGGGTGAAAACAACCTCGTAAAAATAGCAAAAATTCTATTTTTCTCGGAAACGATTTCTTTTTGAAAAAAGAACAGATCAAGACTGCAAAAAAGTGACTTACCCGGCTCACCACGTTGACCCCACGCTCCCATGCGTCCAACTTCTCCAACGCCTCCTTGCTGGCCTTCCTGTCCAGGTTCTCCGGGTTTTCCCGGTTCACCTGGGTAACCACGTTGCCCATGTTCACCGGGTTCCCCATGTAAGCCTTTAATACCCATGATGCCGTTTGCGCCAGGATTTCCGGGAAGCCCTAAACTAAGAAAACTTATGATCTTCTATGGAAAGTATTTGAACTTTTCACAGAAACAGTGAGTCAGTGGTTATATTATACTTTTACAATGTTGAAGCATCAACTTGCGCCTGCGAGAGATACGGAACAAAGATGCGGCGGCAGCCGACTGGCGATACGTCGGCGTTCCCGTGAAGAGAACACTCAGCTCACTCGTAGAAATCGTGACGAGACGTTTTTGTGACAGAGGAACGCTGATTACCAACTAGCATTACGTTCTTTATTGTCAGAATGTGAAGTTCAAATACCTATTGTTAGTTGTTTGTGCCGAAAAATTGGGAAACAATTTGAGAAATTGTAGCTTCATTCTCGAATTTTGTTGCAGTCGTTTGAATTTTCTTGAGATTCTTTGAAAAATGTCGTAACGCGGTAGCTGGTCACCCGATCAAAAAATATCATGGAAACCAGTTTGATGAAGAAGAACTAGTAACATGTTTTCCTCCGTTTTGTCCCTTTTCGAGTTTCTAGACCCTCTTCCGGGACTCTTTAGTAAGGAGGGAGGGTCTAGTTTGATTTTCGAAAGATTTCAACAGAAGTTTCAAAACTCTTCTTATTTTTGGTTGGTCATTATTTATATGAGCATATTATGCATTTTGTATTAGTTCACAGTTATATCAGACTCTGGTAAATCGTCAGAATTTTTTTGAAGCATTCTCACCTAGGTGTACATATAAGAAGGAATAACGTATAAATCACTTCCATGCCATGAATAACAGTCTCAATTTGTTCACTATCTTAATCTTTAACTTTCTAATATTATTCGCCTCAAGATATCCCAAGTTTTAATGAGAACTTTTTTTATTGATGATACGTCATTAAGTCGTTCAGAAGGTAATGTTGCTTTTTTGAGCGCCATATATCGTGGAACAAAGATGAAATTGGTAGCATTCGAAGCAACGTGTCACCTTCTTTCTGATGATTATAAAATGATCCCAGCTTGATCAATGAGCTCTAGGAAAAATTCCAAGTTCTGCGGCAAATGCTATTTGTCATTGTCAAATTTCACCATTTTCCAAGACTTTCATAGCGATCCCTAATACAGTAAGTTTATGAATAGAGTATCTTACAGGACACAGAACAATTTTTTTTGTTTTCTTAGCATGCTTTCTGAAATTACTGAAATCATTTTTTTGATTCTATCAAATTCTTTGGTTAACGCAGACAGAACACTTTTTTGTTTTCTTAGCATGCTTTCTGAAATTACTGAAATCATTTTTATTATTCTATCAAATTCTTTGGTTAACGCAGACCTCGTAGAGCAACAATCGACTAGCAACTCGGTGTCATTCGATGCAGCTAGTCTCCTCTTTCCACTAGTGTTTTTGTTCCCGATATAAGGTCTCTAGGAATAAAAATTATCAAAATTCATGCTTTCGAAAGAATTTTCGAAAGTCGTTATTTTAAGGCGGTAAACACTCGTTTGCTTTGAAGAATTATATCACAGTTAAACCATAATCAGTTTTGGAAGTTACAAATTCCGAAAGTTTATTGGCGTTTGACGGGTTTATGTCTGAGACAAGCCTGCTAAAATCCGGTTGTTTCAATAAAAAAATCTATCAAAAAATGTGACGATCTCTCGAGGAAAGAAAAAATTTGTACAGTTTCCTGTATAGTTTGCTCTATCCAGCGCTACGTAAACTCCTTCGGAGGATTGCTATAGCAATTTAGAATTGTGAAACGTGATCATCTCAAAAAGCATGGGTCGTCAATGGCTTTATAAACACTAGAATGACAGTGAAATGATGCATCGAATGTGACAAGATCTCTCAGAAATCTTTGTTCCTCGAAAATGTAACGTTCATGTAAAAAATAAAAACGAAAATACTTTCGGAACGACCGCGACAATTTTCTTAGTTAGTACTTACGCTGTGTGAGATAGTAAATTTCTCGCTATAGTTTGAAATGATAGTCTTGATGAAAGAATGTCCTGTCAAAAACTCAGCGAAACAAATTATTCAGAAAAATCTTCAAATGTCGAGCGCATAGTCTAACAACCGAATGTTTTTATTTTGCGTTTTCATTGTTGGAATGTTGCGATTTGACGCTGCGCAAGGAAAAACCTCAAATCGAAGCTTCTTAAGACCTGGTTCAAGATTCTGGATTATTTACCATCGCCTGCTTGTTCCAAAATCTACCAAATTCTAAGAAACATACCAACTTGTCCACCTTCTCCTGCTCGTCCCGGTAAGCCTGGTTCACCAATAGGTCCAATAGCTCCCGGTGTACCATTTCTTCCATCTTGACCCGGATAACCTGGTGGGCCCTAGGAGAATAAGAGTGATTTTGAAGATGGCATGTGTGTGTAACTAACCTGTGCCCCATTTATACCTGGAGCCCCTGTGGCGCCTTTTGGGCCATAAGGACAAAGTCTACAGCCATCATGTTTCTGATAAAGCAGTTCGGGTAGTATTCCAGGAAGACCTCGTGGACCAGTTAGACCAGTTTCGCCTGGTGTACCATCTATACCATCGGGACCTGAAACAGAACTTAACAGCCATCAAAGATTCGAAAATTTCTGTATACCTCGCTTTCCTGGCGGTCCTGGAGGGCAATTGTTACTGTACATGCACTCGCAGTAATTATAAACTTGGCGAGTTGTGCGAGGAGCTTCCACCCTCAACTCTCGCCAAACTTTTGACTCAAGCTCGGAAAATGTGAGCAGCTCAGAGTTGAGGAGTTGGCGAATCTCATGCATTCGGCTCCACATCCGCGGAATATAGCTGAAGCACACTTTCATGCTTTTTGTAATTTGTGCCAGTTGTCCAGCTTAAAATTGAAGACTAACCTGTACAAAGCGACCAATGAGATTATAGATAAGGCACAAGCGGACTGAAGAAGAGCTGCTTCACGCATCTGAAATGAAAACCACCTAAAACGGACACATCACCTGAAAAACCCGTAGCCGAAACTGACACAAAACTCCAAAGCACAACGAACGAGATATGCGAGCTAGAAGCGCCGTCCAAATCCTCCGTAGTTCCAGCGATTTGCTCGTCTGAATGAGTGACTCGCTTGCGAATCGAGGTCTAAACTTAATCGGAAACTAGTTGTCTACTTCCACAAGAAGGAGGATCAGCCGCTAAAAAAGTACGTCGTACAACCTTTTGGAGGCGAAAGAGAAGAAAGCACACAAACAGAAGTCCAACAATTTTTGGTTGCCAAAAACTTTTTTCTCTGAAAGCATAGGACAGTCCGAAAATTTCTGTAAATCTTTGCATAGCTTCTGTAGGCTCATCCCGAAATTTCGTACAAAATGTTGAAATTTAAAAATAAGAAAAACTGAAAAAATTAGAATTTTTTGAACTTATGTAAGTTATAAATTAGAAAATTTATAATTCGCATGAGCTACTTCAAAAATCCGCGACATATTGCCCCAACCCCCATCGGTCCACCGCAGCTTCAGCGTCCACCCAAAATTTTGCCTCCCATGCTTTTGCCATCCCGGGGCCTTTCCGCGGCCCTGATCACATTATGAACTTCAAATAGTCCAAAACTCCCCAAAACCCCGATTCCTGAGGACCCTGTCTTACAGGCGCGGACGGCTTTCAGTACATGTGTGGGCAGAGCTTGGTAGGATCTGGGCGGGCGTGATAGTACTTTGACTGTTCTAGGCTCATTATTTCCATTCAAAGACAACATTGAAGGACCGGACCAACGCAGGTGCCCCTTTCTTGGGGCCTATATTCAGGATCGGCACTAATCGGAGGGGTTAGACTTAACTTGGACTTTGCTTCTTTGGAACAAGAACATGGGCAGTGCTCACCTTGGGAAAATTTTATTTTTTTGGCTGCTCTTTACACCATAAATAATGTTGTTGATACAAGTGACATAATGCATGTGAAGGAAGTGTCGATTTGATGTTACTACGGTAGCTGACAGAAGCTTTCAGCGATGCATTGGTACAAGGTTTCTTCATTGGCCCGTAGTAAAGCTTGATCAGTTAAGGTGAACTCAACTAACTTATCAGTTAAGCTTAGGTGAGGTGAACTGATGACCGTCCACCTTCCCATGCTATAAGATGGTCAAGTCAACTGATAGTTGGCCATCTGTCCACCTGCTGCAGTCAACTGTTCCACATCCGTTCACGTTGAGTTGAACTGAACGTGAACGGATGTTAAAGGAATGCAAATAGCGTGTAAAAGAGGGGACGCAGACAAGAGTTGACTGCATCTAACATAAGTTGCTCCTGAGTAACTTACGATGCATATAGCTTTGCCAAAAAATGCAGAAAAAATCGGCGCAAAACTGCACAACCGCGCCCGAAAAGGAGAGGATCGATGAACAGCTGATTTTGGCGAGGAAAATAAAAAAAAACAAATTCTTCTCTTTTTTGTAAATCTTACTGGTTTTTTTCTCACTGGCTGTACAATACGAGAACTCATTTATTCATTTCATTAAATACACGCTACTATCATTTCGTTTTTTCATAAAATTTTCGTCACAAATTGTGTTTTTGTTTTATCCGTGTATTTGCTTGGCGAAGTCCTTGATAGCGATCATCATCGATTGCCATAGTGGCCGCTATCAAAGATTGCCCGGCGATGCATCAAAAAGGGAGTTGGTAGACGGAGTCGAACCACGGCCGCGCGCGCGTAATTCCAATCGCTTACCCGTTTGACCAAACCAGCTCGAGTGCTTTTTTTTTCAAGTACACATTTGATTGCAATGCCTTTGGCAGTGATCCGCATCCGAATCAATAGCTCGCCGTATGCTGGACTGAGGCGCGATGACCTCAACTCCGGTCCGCGTCGAGAGAGATGCCTTGATGGGGGGTTTACTACGGGCCATTGTTTTTCTTCCAAAGAATGTTATCATTAAGAACTTTCTAGCAGATTATGGATTGTCCTTCTGAAACTTAATTGAAAAAATACTTTTAGCTATTCCATGTCTGCGTTATTTGGGTCAAAACTAAATTCTTTCTGGCGATAGCAATACCCAGGTGGAAGTCCATGAAAGCCGTGCTGAGTTTGGTACCCTTGTAGTGCTGAGCTTCGGATAGGGGGTTATTTGAATGCAGATCGTATCCTGTCTTGTGCATGGTTTACAAATTAGTAACCAGGTATCACGTCCTTTGGTTCGAATTGGTGGCATTTCAGGGAAAAGTTCGTTTTGTGCCCCCACATTTTCGCGGCCAGGCTTACTTTATACGTCTAAAAGAACATCGGAATTACAAAATGGTTACGTGCCTGATGTATGGAGTCTAGATGGTAGCACCATTTGTAGGTAAAGACTTTGTATATAGCAACATTTTTCAGCTTTTTGTTAAGTACGCTCGTACTTCAAAGTGGTTTGTAATTGTATTAACTTATTACATAATTATTAGATCATAGACATGCTACGCAGATTCTAAGCGAAAAAATAATTGTTCATCCAAAGCTTTTTGTGCTTCTAATGTCTCCCCCTCATTTTGACGTTCACTAATTTTTGATTGATAAGAAACTAAGAAATCAAATGCTCATTTATTTCTTTGATCTAATTTGTGTTGAAGGTGAAAGTCTGAATTTTTTTCTCGAAAAACGACGGTTCCAGCACGACATGGACGTTAGCTTACAAAGACTTTAATCTTATCATAATCCTTATCTTAAGCTCTAAAAATGGTCAAATTGAATAGCAACTCTCATTTTCATTCTTTGCTACAAATCGTTGGTCGATATATTTTGCATACATGACGGATTCCTATTTCAATCCCAATGGACCGCAAAATAAAGGCGCTCCACAACCCTTGAGTCCTGCTGAAATACCGGGAACCCCTCCAGAAGTACCGCACAGGCCAAAAGAAGAAGAATGGAAACCATATATCAACGAAAAGGCTCCGCTGAGGTAAGATAACAACATTTAAAACCAAAAAGGCCAACTTTTGAGAGCCAACTTTTTTTTTTTTCCAGGAGTGATGACAATGTGGATCTGCGGTCAGAGCCATCTGCAGGTAAGGCAATTGCTTCATAATTCTGACTTCATTTTTTTTTCTGATTAAGATAGGAAGAATAAGACTCCAGCAGCTCAAAAATCTCCAGTAAAAAATGCGGTAACTATTTCCTTTTTAAGACGCCATCAGAAAAAATGAACCTTAGCAAAAATTCTTTCTTTCAGAATTATGTGTGCCTAAAAACTATGGCAATAATGATTTTCATTGTTTGCCAAATACTTGCTGTTGTTATTCTAATTACGGCTTTACATATGAACAATACTCTCGACTACATTGAACCACTAGTTCCACCTGACAATGGGTGCAGAAATTGAAGATCAAGAAGATTTTTTTCACAATCGACGTATTACCTTTCAAAAACGCTATCATATGTCCAAACTGTTGATGATTATGTAATAAATCAATTAATTATACATTGTCATTCCAAAATGTTAGATTGCTCCTGGGCAACAATTTTTTTCCTCACTTACGTAATACAAGGAAAGTTCGCGGAATAATTTAATGAGATGTGAAGCTCTTGTGCTTTTGCTATAAAACTCCGCCATCCAAGCGGTTATAATTGTCCTTCACCCACTCGGACAATTCACCGAGTAAGGTTCATATCTCGCTTAAGTGTTCTCTTTTGCTGTTGCGGTCCGCATTCTGCAGAACTTCCGCAGCACCATATTTGGGGACTTCCGCAGCATTTACGAAACTTCTGCAAATGATCCTGCGGAACTCCCCCAAACGTCTGCGGAAATTCCGGCCAGTTGTCTGCGTGAGCATCATACCATATCCATTTATTCAATACCAGTGTTTCACCTCTGTTTCGCAGAGGCTCGCACTGGCTCCTCTATCTACATGCTTTCCTTTTGCTCACATGATGTTCACTTTGAAACACATTATGCGATGCTGACCATCATGAACGAATTGTAAACAAATACTCATTCCAGCTTTTCCATGTAAGAGAGGTAATTTGGGAAGAGAAAATTCTTGTGTAGAAGATTAATAATGAATTTCGGTTATTACTGAAGTTATTATTGACGGGTAGTTTCCACAAAGGACAGTTACTTTTGTCCCCTACATTTCTGAGCAGAAATCCTCCAAATAATTAGCTGAAACCTTGACAAATTCATGATCTACCAATCACTCCTTCTTGGCGCTAATTTTGCTTAAAAATATATATTTTGCTCACTTTTTGGAATTAAGCCTATGGTCTGCACATTTACTTGTTAAGCAAATCCACAAATTCGCAAAAAGTACAATCACCGACTCACATTGGGGGCCAAAGGTCGCGTGGTCCCATTTGACGGCAGTTTTTGAAGGTTCCGATTATGGGATCGACTTGTGCTTTTGCATTATTTACCTACATGCTAATAGGGTGCTATGACCAAAATTTCAGCTCAAGACCTTGGCTACAACACGCTCCATGAATTTCGTGGACAGACAGATATACACACACAGACAGACAAACAGACAGACGCTTAGCGCTTTATTGTTAAGGAATGATGCTCCATATTCTATGCTGGTGAATGGTGAGCTTTTGACATACGTAGAGGCAATGAGCCAAGAATATGGAGCCTTGAAGATAGCATATCTCACTTTCTACTTTACAAAAATGAAACTGCTATTACCGAAGAAAAGCTTGCGCTATTCTTACAATATTACCTTGGTACATCGACTATTTTGATTGCAAGAATCGCGCAAGCTTTTTTACCTTAGACAAAAGCAACCACCTTTTCTGTTAGGCTAAAAGCTATGGCCAAGTTTTTATCTCTGAGAAAACAATTTTTCAAGCTTGCAGGCAGTGTCCCCGCAGAATCTCCCAGTTCACCTTTTCGAACTCACCATGCTAAACCAACATCTGGGTTTACAGCGCATGAAAATGTCGGGTATGAGCTTTCTTCGAAACCCTTCATGCCTGCATTGATTGGAAAAATGTGGAAGTAGGCGGGGTGAACAAGGGGGAGATTTGGAAGACTTTCGGATTAGATTCTGGGCTTTCTGACGCGTTTTTCGCTCCAGATTTCAATGGTAGATTAGTAGGGTCCCGTCACTGCAGCGCTGCAAAATCCAAATACGGATTATTGCCGTGACACTGCCTTTGAGGACCGTCAGGCCGAACATCCGCACTGCAAGGTACGCCAAATCCAAGTAGAGCTTCTTCAGCGATTGCGTTTAGTAGACTCTATAGGCCAGCGCTGAGATAATTACCGAAGCTTACAACCCTTCATTTTTGCTATGTCTAAATTTTTGCTCATTTTTAGATCTTTTTGAATCTTGACGGTGCTTAGAGCTATCTGTTCGGGCAAACCTCTTACAAATTGATGCGATTTTTTGTAATTCTCTACTCAGTGTCATCTTATTTCAAAGAACATGAAATGGTAAACAGTTCATGTCTCATCAGATGCAGCTTCCTCTCCTTTTCTGCAGTCGACTTTTCTCTGCGATGTACCTGGAATTTGCAAATGTAATCACCGTATCGATTTAATGCTTTTGTATTTTAAAAATCTTTACATTTCGAAGCGATTGTTTGCTTCGTAAAACTAGTGACAGTGGTAATCGTTTTGGAAACTCATTTCAAAGACTTTGCAGTATTAGGTGCAATTTCCTTGAGACTCAGCCTTTGTTAAACCAGCAAAATTCTGAGAAGAGACCTGAAAAAAAAAACAAAAAATTCGCCATACTTTGTAAAAGCTTTGCCCTGCCTGCTTGCTGAAAAAGCTTTTGCAAATTTTGAATAAAAATTCCGAAAATTGACGAGTTTAGCGTGATAATGATATGAGGACTTAGCTCCGGCGATGATCTCAGAGCTGGTCGGAAGTATCGCGGTTGGCCTGCTCTGGAATAGGGGTCTGATGGTACTACCCTACCACGTGCCATCATGGATGCCGCATCGAGAAAAGTTGCTGACCCCGTCGTTAGCTCGTTGACTGTTCACAAGTCTTGATAGTTTCATATTATGTTAGTCCGCAGTCAGTAGATATCTCCACTTCTGACGAAGCAGCCCGCCGCAAAACATTGACATCGCGCGCTCTTGAACCTGCATGCGTCGACCACGAGCCAATGAACAGTTACGTGTGTGGTAGACTTTGACTTTAAAACAGCTGATCAGCAAGAAAAAAGGCGCCAATTTGTTCTAGACAGGATAAATGAGGAACGGCAGAAAGAGATGATACTCATTAGTGTTTCGCGATGGGTTTTATTTTTTTGATTATTTATTTTTTCAACAAATCATAAATTATAATGAAGAAAAACCCGAATAATGATGAAAGTGATCGTTTTTGGAAGAAAAATAAAATTATGGTGTCGTCGGCTGGGACGCAAATTGTTTGCTATTGGCGCAATACCCAAACTCACAGACGCCGCCAGCAATATGCCAAAGCCTTTTGGTAGGAGCACGTCAAGATGCTAGCACCTTTCTTTCTCATAAAAGCACATTATTTCTCGTGCTTTTCAACATGCTGGCAGCTCTCACCTTGCAAACTTCGACGGATGCCATTTGGTTGCCGGCAAGTTAGTTTGCGAAGTTGCCAGAAGCACTTCCTGTTCTTGATTTTTGGAGGTTTCTAATACCTCAAGTTGTGATGCAGGTTTCTTCAAAGTTGCTATCGCATCCTCAGTTAAGCATTTTTGGTAGGAAAGGTTTCTACGACCTAGAGGTTGGATCTTATTTTTCGACATATCACGTGGAGTTAAGGCGAGCTGACGGCGAGACCTGCCGCAAGATCGGAGGATTATACCGGCCCAGCAGGAACCGTCGCTTTTACACAATTGCTTTAGAAACTGTTTTGTTTCACCCTCTATTAGTTCACCTAAAGACCACCAAAAAAGCCTTGTTACGACGCCTATGCTAAGTCCATAGTGTGCGTCAGGGCTCAACACAGCTCGCAACGGGTCAAGCTGGATATCTTTTTTGGAGCGGAAACCAAAGTGGATGTCGTATCTGCGGGGTTCGGTGCGGAGCCCCGGAAAAAATTGCAGAGAAATATATCGACATTCCAATACATAGTAAAGCTAATATCATACTATCTTTATTTTTTTCTCAAGTAGAACTTTTTATCGAGTGCCATTGCAAACATCATGTTTCATTATATTGAAGAAAAATGTGATAGTCTCGCTCGACGTATGGCACATGAGTGTACATTGATGATAAAAATTTTATTGCTTTGAAAATCCTACTAAAATGATTTCTCAGAAGATAGTAAAAACGTCAACTAATGCGTTACGTAAGCCTCTTCATGCTCTCATTCACTGTGCACATGGACGCTAAAACCGAACGGAATCGAGATTGACTTCACCACCACTTTTTGGTCTGTTTTGATTTCTTCCGCACTACTTCCACTTTTTCTCCTCCTTAAGATCACAAATGCAGAAATATGCAACACAAACAAAGTCTGTGTTGCAAAATGCCCTTCCAGATATGTACATAACTTTCAGCAAATCAAGGGTGGAAATGCAGAAGGCATGCTAAGTTTAAACTTGGCCACTGCAATGCCGGCAGCATGCCGCAGCTGCCAGCGCGGGAATTGAATTGTACCAAAAACGAACAAAAGGCTTATTTACAAACAAAACGCAACCGTACGACAACAAAATTTTGTGTTGCATGCGCGCTAAAGGATCCTAACCATGGCCCAAAAATTTAAAAAAAACTTATTTGTATGAAAACTGTGCTGAAACTTTTTTGGACTAGCTGGCAACTGGCAAAGAAAACAGCTGTGCCAGCTGGGTGCCAGCGCTGGTACTGATCCTTTGCTCAAATAGGTTCACTTTTTTACGTAACTTTTGTAACTATACTGTAAAGGTTTACATATGGAGAAAAAAACGATTTTATAATGTTTTCTTTCGGGCATTTTATAGTCATCTGAAGATTTCCCGGTCTGCTCCGCAGTCGAAAAATCTGCTCCAATCACAAATGTAGTTGAACAACTGAAAAGCTCAGAAAACTTGTAAAAGTTCAATGAAATCAGCACATGCGTGATAATCCCATCACATAATTTTATAGAATCTAAAAGAATGACGGGTCTTCAAAACATGTCAAAGGGGACTTCATTGTCGCACTGCTGGACATCTAGTCCCATTTTCGTAAAAAGAATGACGGGTCTTCAAAACATGTCAAAGGGGACTTCATTTTGAAATTTCCGGTGCTTCTCGTGCCGAGCTCTGTTATGCGTACAGGCATACCCTCGATACATAGAGCCACGTACTCTGGTAACCTTCACTTTGAGGGCTATGGGGGGATATAACCTTCACCTGGAAAAAAGAATTCATCCGTGGCTTCGCCCCGAATGTTGTTATCCTGACTATATCGAAACGAATGTTAATAAAGCAAATATAGGGAATAATATCTTTAGCTTATCTCAGCGAAACCGAGAATTTGCGTTTTCATAGCCTTTTTTTACCTTAAAAAGAAGGTTTCTGTGGAATCTTCGCCAGAATTCAAGACAAAATTTCTCAGTTATCCTCTTATTTGAATAAAATCGAGTTTCAGAAATTTATGAAAGCTATTGGAGTTAAATATAAACGGAAAACTGCGCTTAAATCTTGCGCAGAGAGTCGCGCACGAAAACGCTGGTCTATTTCGTTAAAGAGTAATCTTCAAAGCTTGGGACGTTATCAGTTCTCCTTGTCGTGTTATGACGATGAGAATGATATATAATGTTGCAGGGTTTCGTTGAGACCCCGCGGAGATCTACTACCAGAGCCAAATGCCCCGTCGGCTCTGGTCTATCTCCGCTGCTCGTCTGCGTCTCCGCGCGCTGCGCGCTACCTCGCTACCCCAAACGCGGGGCGCGGGGCATTTGGCTCTGGTACCCTTTTCTCGGCTGTTTCGAACCCAATTCTAGCAAGCTATATATCATTTTGAAGCTCTTGATCTCTATTTGCACGCTGACAACGTCCCAGAATGACATTTTTTGATTTGATCAAGAAATCCGGCAAAAACCTTGTTTTCGAAAATTTCTTGTTTTTCTCCAAGTTTACCTCTTTTCATGCGGTTTTTTCATGCTTTCTATAGATCTTGCTTCTGTTCATAATACAGATAACCACCCAGCCCTTACCTCTTCGATTATGGTGGAATTTTTTGCGAAAAATCGTAAAAAGTGCGTTTTTCTTTACCTTGTTCTGTTTCAGTGCTTTCGCATCGATTTTTTTCCAGCTTGGGCGATTATTGCTCAGAACTATAAGCGCAATAATCCAGACAACGTCCCAGAAACAGGAACGTCAATGCGGGGGTAAAAATTTAGAGGACGCCTCAAAAATCAAAACCCCGTATTGCGAATTGCTGGCCCTGAAGCGAAAACTTGCACATTGAAAAGCCGCCAAATGAAAGATTGCATCGTTTTTATCCGGTTTTCAGCAGTTTCTTTTGCTATTTATATCTGTTTTACGTCATATGTGCTTCTGTGATATTCTTCAAACAACCTTCACTATTTATGACCTCAGATGTTCAAACAACCTTCACTTTTGACGCCCTGTCTATAGACTATCGAAGGTATGCGTACAGGGAACATCAAGACCTAAGAGCTGCAGAAACTCTGAGACCAGCTACCCTCTGCGCTGATGCTCAAAACAACGATTATAGAAGGAATTGTAAAGATTTTTTCGTGCGAGAGAGTAGATTTTATGGTGCAGTTGTGAGTCCTGCGGTATCACACTCACAAGCGGTTCTGATTGCCGTTAAAGCTGCTTCGCTCGTTTTTTCTAACAAAGCCGTTCCCTGTTCGAAGCATAGCAGCGTGACATTATTCTAAGTTTTGCCTGAACATCGCATGTAACATGTTGCCTACTACAGATCACTTTCATTCCGCCAGAGCTACTCATATTCAATGTTCAATAAAGAAATTTCATACGAACTCCAGCCGGATGTGCTGCGATAGACCGAATCACCAACCCACTACATCAGTCGCACTGCTGGACATCTAGGCCCATTTTCGTACTCATCGTATCTTCGCCGGTTACGATAGTCTGAGATCGGTGTCTCGGATTGTATTTATGCACATCTCTAAAAAAACCACGGTCGGTGAAAGTAATTAACACAATAGGCGCAGCCTGCAAAATGGTTTATGTTACCAATGGTTTCAAATAAATCAAATTCAATCCCTAGGGAGGAATATTGGAAATAATCTATGTAGGATAATCAAATAAATTCAAGCAAAAGTTACAATATTTAATAAAAAGTCGTCCACGCAGTACAACTTAAACTAACTAGGCTGTCACTTGCTTCCTTGTCTTTTCTAACTGACAGCAATGCCTAACTTGGTTGATCATCTATCATACAGAAGCGTAAAGTTCCGTCAGTATTCGTCAGTAATTTAAACAGAAATTGGCTTGAGCGGTGTTCTCTTTAACTTCGTTTGGATTTTTGCGTACTCCCTAGCAATGCCACATATTCTTGTTATGCGCTAATGTATCGTTTCAAGACACTATCGCTCGAAATCTGTCATAGATGAAGAGTTATGAGCTCAATTCGTTAGCTCCAAAAGTAAGTGCGTTAGCACAAATCAAAAAACATTGAGGATTTTCTATCCATGAATGAGCCGTAAATGGGCCCACGAGGACTCGTGTCCGTCCCTGGATAAACTTTTTTAGGGTGGCGAAATCTGCCAGTTTCTCGTAAAATGGTCGTAGCATAAAGTATAAGTTCTATCAATGCTACTAGTTCATTTCGATCATTTGAGAATGATTGTTGCTCGGAAGCGACAGCGAGAACGCAATGTGCCAGTCAGATATATTCAAAGTCATGATTACATGACGTGTTCAAGTTATTAAGCGTTGATGAATCAAAGAACCGTGGATAACCGTGAAGCTTACACAAACTAACGGTTCTGTCTCTGTTTCACTCTATTTTTTTGACATTACCGCTCACTATGCATTTTTTGATACTCCAAAAAACACTGCAATAAATCTTGCATAACCACCTATTTTATTTTTCAAAAACTCAAATTATTAGTAGGAAGATGAGCTTTTGTGAGCTTGTAGACAGTGTGTTCTAAAGTGCTTGATAGCAAAGAATAGAAGATCTTCTAAACTTTACATTTTATATAGTCGCTAGAGATTGTGCTATAGTAAGTGTAAGTTCGTGTTCGACCTACAAGTGCATTGCTACTACAAATTAATCACCTAGAACGAAAGCGCTCTAGAATTAGAGAAAAAATATTGGTAATTGTTAGCCGTTCATCTCTTTCCACATAATTAAGGTTTGACAGTTATTCCTGGTTCGTAGTCTTTGTGATTATCTGTCGCACGTGTCTTTGAGATTGTAGAAAGAAGATCTTGCAAACTTTCGTTCTTTGATAACTCTTTTGTATGAAAAGCTTTTGCAGTCCTTCGAACTCTATGGTACAAAACTGGCTTCACTTGTTGATACCCTTCTTGACTGCAGGATAGTTGTAAAAAGTTCCAGCATGCAGCCATTACGAAGCAAGCCGTCGCTTCAAAATTTTTTGAAGAACTGGGAAAGCTGTGTATCACGCATTTTACGCATGCTGACACGAATTTTTACACGTTTCTAGCAAGGAAAGCTTTTCTATTCGAATTGATCTTTCCATATGAAACCTTGTTACTTTGCAAAGCATTGAACGGTAAATCCAATTTTGCTTTCCTTTCCTGCGGAACAACTCTTGAGAAAGTTAAGAGTGTTGGAAGTTTAAATTTATCAAGCTTTAAGTGGCATGAAATTTGCGAAAAACTGTAAAAAACACTTATGCGGAATTCCACGAGTTGGTTCCATACTTTATTTATTTACTTATTTATTTAATAAGTAAAAAACGTGCCACATGATCACAATCAATGAAGACTCGAGATATATTTAGTAGTAAGGAACACAACAAAAAAACATCCACTGAATCAGCTTAAGTCTAGCCGTCCCGAATAGTTTTGAATTAGAGGAAGGGAACAAGTTTGCTACGACCATGTACGGAATCATGTCATAGGCGTAGAAACTCAATGGAGTAGTAACTGGAAGTGGAACTTGGTCGATGTACTAAATACAAACTTGGTTGCCCACTTTCAGCTGTCTTCGTACAGTTTTTCGTTGATTTTGTGCCGTTTATAGCACGGAAATTTGAACTTTAGAACAGTTTCAATTTTTTGAGCGAATTGTTCCGCAAATAAGGAAAGCAGGCAGGAATCAGGGTTCAAAGACGCATTTCTTGGTATAAGAGTCATGTGGAAAGGCCACTTTAACTTGAAAACTTCCCTCGCAAAGATTTTATGGCATAGCCGCGTTTTTGAAGAGCATTGAGCTCTTTAAACACGCATTTATGCCATTGAGGGTAGTTGGGAGATCTTGACATAACTTATGAAAAAAACTTTAGTGCAAGCTTTATGTTCACAGTCAGCGTCCTTGGGTGGTGTCAGGGTTTTCAGACTGCTTAGCTTGGTATCTGAGGCAAATAGGACTTTTTTAGTTTTACCGTAATCCTACAGTCACGAAGAGGGAGCGGTAACTCGCTCTATACCAGAAATCTAAGTTGAAGAAAATTCTACAAAATTGTGCTTGGATGGCCCTGAAAGCTCTTTGAAGTAGTGATATCAAAGGTCAAATGTTTGACACATTCTCTGTGGCAGATCGTATTCATAAAATCCAACAAATTCAGCTCAAAATTTGTGAAGTTTTAGGATGCAAGATGCGCTTACTATAGGAATCGAAGTTCTTAGTATTATAGCCCTGCTGCTCAATCTGATTGCTATTCACATGCTCTCTCGCACTCGTCGACAGAGTATTGGCTCAAAAAGCATTTATGTTATAGTTGCTGTTATGAACATCTTTCAACTAACGTTGTTCGGACTATCATCACCGGTGGGAAGGTTACTTTTTGTAGATACTTCTGCCAAGAATAATTCATTCTTTTCATAGAGAGTTGTCACCTCTAGATATTGTATTGTGTACATAGCAACAGGTATAGTGAGCACAAACGCTGCTGGATTGACATTATTGTTATGTAATTACACAGCAATGCTCCTTTATCTTCTCACCATACTCAACAGCTTTTTGCACAAGTACATCGTCTTCTGCAGGTGGTTATTTTGGGTTTTTTCCTAAATACACCTTCAGGGATCCAAAAAATCAAAAACAAAGTTTACAATTATCACAAAATTGCAATAATCCAGTATCCGCTTGATCTTTTGCCTTATTCATACTGATGAGATAATGATCAGACCGTGGGAGGAGAATTATCTTCAAACGTCACAACAATGATGATATAATGAAATGACAATGATATAACACTATGCGTGGTCATGGGCGTAGAGGACTATTTTAACTCCAAATATTTGGTGGGGGGGGGGGAGGGGAGAAGGGGGAAACAGCGTCTCAAAAGGAAAAAAGAGGTGTTTGTTTGTATAATCTAAAGCTGGATTCTGGCTTTATGTATATGTCGTTATGTATTGATGGAAAAGACAAGATGCAAAATACATAGTATAGATATCAAAATAACTGCAATCACAAAATTTGTGCTTCTCTTTTACCCAATCGATTTTATTAAGACCTAAATATCGCTTTATCTACCATTCTGTATGGATTATCGCACCAGTCATAGCGAACTTCTTAATTATTCTGAACTGGAATGGTGGTGTTATGCTCCAATTATTTCTTCAAATTCATGAAAAAGTCAAAAGGGACGACATGCACAAGTTATCTGCGACGGCGTCGCTAGCCGAAGCCAGCATCGGCGAGCATTCTTACCTTGGATTCTGCAGTGAGGTACGGACCTAGCTTTATCTTTTCTCAAACAGTTGGCTGCACAAACCATCCAATTTACCATGCAATCCACTTTAGGACAAGAGAAACTGGATCCAATACTCCTTTTTTCTTGAGACATCGGTTACTACCGTAATTCTTTTCGCCATTGCTATACATCTAGCTTATCAAGTGAAGAAAAAGTTAAAAGAGCCTTCGCTGAGCAAGAGAACAGAACAGCTGCAACGTCGTTCCAGCAACATGCTTCTTGCTCAGGTATGTTCATGACAAAGTATATGCAGTTGAGAAATCTATGTAAATTCATAGGCAATCAATCTTTCTGTGTTGCTGCCAGCTCCTCTGCTTCTGCAACCACTCTTCCTGGTATGTGGATTTACAAGTCCTAAAGCACTAGTTTTTGTAGGAACCATTTTTATCGGTGTATTTCATGTAATGAATCCGGTCATTGCTATTATATCATTAAAAGGGGCTTCTTCTGCGGTAACGAAAGTAGCTGTATGTAGCACTTCAGTATTGTCATAGAAATTGATGGAAATAGAAAAAAAATAGAAATCACGTAATAAACTTTTTGCTCAGTTTTGCGTCTTCATCTCAATAAGTGTAAAAAAACAGTAATATTGGATAAACATGATATCCGTGCGGAGCCGTCAATAGCTTCGGAGCGAAAGCAGCAAAATGGAAAAGATTGGTAGGTAATTCTGTGATCTAAATTAGACTATTAGATATGGGATACACGACGGACCAAATGTCATCTTGGCCTGTAGTAAACCCCCCGTATGTGCTGACGTATAGCTCGGAGTCTGCTGTGACATGTGCTGACTACCAGGCAAGGCGGCTATCATTTATCATTGCCGGCGAACGCAATCAATGCGAAGCGCCAGGGTAGTCCCACTTTGTCGCTATATGTCACGACATATCGCGACATATAGCGACATATTGCGACATGTCGTGACGGACGAGACAGCGAAATACATTGTCCATCATGGAGACGCAGAGACATAGCGCAAGACTAGAGCTCGACTACGCCAACCTCGCAATAGTTCGCACATGCACACAGTTCTCTAAAACGCACGTCAACTGCAATCGATATCAGCAGCTGATAGCGCCTAACCGTCCGAGCAATGTGGCGCTTCCATTTGCTAGATATTTCTGCTTTGTACACCCTGTTATTCAGAAAAAGGTGAGTTGTTTTCGACGTAAATGTAGATTCGGTCACATTTTCTGCTTGCTAATTCGTGCTTGTGCTATTTTTCTTTTTTTACATTCAGATGCGCCTCATGCGCGCACCAAATCTCTTTTTCGTGCCAAAATTCCTCAAATTCTTATCTTTTTTTCTATCCTAGCATTTTTAAACACATATTTTTGCTTGAATTGCTGTTCGTTAGCCGTACACCTCTCGCTTCCCTTCTGTTTTTGAGAGAAGGGACCGTCTGGTGCTATGGCTAAGGGAATAGCAAATTTTTGGAACATTTTGCTAAGGTAATAAATGTTTGATGATATTTTCATTTTTCTTATGCACTTCCAACATTGACTGTTCTGAATGCCATTTCCTCTTTACTACCAGGAATTTCCCTAACATGAGTTCATTTGCATGAAAATTCAACTATTAGCAAATTGCAAAAGGCGGTATCGCGTAGGATTTGAACCCTCCCCCCTTGGGCATGCGGCCTCTGATACTGGCGCTGCGCTATCTACTCGTTATCTTCAAATGCTGTATATGTGCAATTTTACACTTATGGCGAGAGCAGTAATTACTTCTACAATACTAATATTACGGATTGGGAATATTGCAAGTAAAACTTCATGTCGTGTGCCCGTACTGATTTTGCCACAACAGCTTTATTTGCTTCGCGCGTTCTTCCTCTCCTAGTAAAACACAGTGAAATTGGTACTTATAGCGCAGCGAGTGTGGGCGCTGTTGTCGGGGTTATCGGTGGTTCGATCCCATGTTTATGCGTTAGTTTTGCGGCGCCCTGCGGATAGCTCGCTATAGTCTTGCGAGATACTCCGAGCTATCACGACATAGTCCCTCTATGTTGTGACAACCAGGTGGGGTTTACTACGGGCCCTTGCTGCATTAGTTCGTACTTAGACAGCTACCATAGTCATTTAGGAGTTATGCGGTCAGAGCAGTCGAGGTGGAGTGAAGGACTGTGCGTTACCGCTAATACATCTCGGAAACAGCTAATCACTCAATTGCGAGTACTCAGCTCAGCTGTAGAGCCAACACTACCGAAATATACCGCTGAATGACTGACGAACTGATATGCAAAATCTGAAGCAGAAATCTACCTCTAAGCAGATCTTTATTTGCCTCCAGTCAGCTTGCGTACCCTTGAGAAGTCATTGAAAAATATGGTGGAAAGCTGAAGCGATAGCCTCGTTTATGATATTTTCAGCTAGCAGCGGCGTAGTCTATGAGATGCACAGTAAACTAATTCTTAGAAGAGAGCAAGGTTTTTCCAGTGCCTTTTCAATCAAATAACAATCTTTTGCGTAGTGATGAAAATCCTTTTTTTTTTCGAGGTCACCAAAATGTTGCAAATATTCAAAAAATTTGATCCAAAATATGTTTCTGAAAACAAGTAGTAATTCAAAGTGCAGGGAGTTATGGTGGAGTTCCAACAGTTTGTAAATTTGTTACTTTTCTGGAAGCAATGACTCTTATCAGAAATATATCAGCATTGTCGAATGACACTCAGGACACCTTTTCGAGGCATTCATTTCCACGAAGATGTAAACAGTAAATTCAAATGGTCACAAACACTGGAAAACCTAGCTCACGACGGTACTACTTTAGTGTTTCTGCTCACAAGGAATTGCAGTAAAGACACCCATAAACACTAACGTGTTCAAAGGGCTGATTGTAGCACCCCTTTACATCTTTTCTCCTCTGCAAGTGCATGCGGACCTCAGTGACTAGTGATAGAGGACGAGCTTGCGCAACCCCTAAAAACTTACTTCTGCGAGTCCGTCTATGCAACTTGGAATTGCCATTGTGGAGAACGCTTTTTCCCGAAGCTCTTGATCTTGAAGAAGAGCAAGGTGCTGCCAATGTGGAGGTGCCCATTTGGTGGAATCATGAATGTGTGCGAGAAAAAACGTACGGTAATTTCAGCGGGAAATTGTTGAGTACGCATCAAAAACGGCGGATAAGTTAGGCATTTTCGGGGAACTAGGTTTTGTACATATACTCAGATGAAGTCTGCGATTGAAGCGGCTTTGTTGGGAAGGTATTGCAACACAATGGAAAAAGGAAAATTTGAGTGTGTGAGACCCCATCAACTTCATTTTATGATGAGCTACTTCTAATGGGTTTTGAGTTATTTAATGGAGCAAACCCTTGAATATGGCCGCGTGGCATCGTTCTCCAAAAGCTCACCGCTTCTTTTCCGGCAAGCAGTTGAAAGACAGTCACCTCGCACTCATGTCGCGCATAGCACCTTTTTGCAATACTTTTCCGAATGATCCAGTTGCCTTGCGACAGAACGGAATAGTTTTTTCCCGCATAACATGAAGATTTCTTAAAAAGAAGCAATAAAGCATTTAAAAATCGGTAAATGCAAAAGAAAAGTTTTTAGTTGCATCCGATGGTATGATGCAAGACGCAGCGGCATAAATTGCTGGATAATGTGCCTTCCCATTCTCAGGACCACCGAGTCATGAGCATATCTTTGGCAAAGACGTACAGCCACGAAAAGCATCCCTTCATTATTTGTATCTTAATGAGTACAATTTTGGTCGGAGCAGACTAAGGGCACATTTATTGTTAGAGGAGTTTTTTTTGCAAGTGGTTCGTTTCGCAGATACAGTATCTTTTCTGTTTCCTCTTTCGTGCACAAACTTTTTTTCAGAAAGGAAAAAAAGTATTCGCCAATTTACTCTCTCATAAAATGGTACTCCTCTATTAGGACGTATAGACCATTTTATATCGCTATATTTATGTATCATACAATCTGTGGTCAAACTAGAAATATTAGGTTGTCCGGAAATTAATGCCCGTTTTGAATTTCAACAGCTCATACACTTCTCACTTCTGAATGGCTTTCAAAGGACCATTCGATAGAGCAAAGCAAGCTCTACAAGAAGGCCATCTTGCATTTGCAACAGCTCTCATCCACCTCGAGTTTTGAGCCAAAAACTAAAAAGACTCAGCAGCCCGAAAAATCAAAAAAATCGTAACTCAGTTTAAAAAAATCTTATAAAAATTCTTACTTGCTCACGTAAACACAATCCACATAAAACATCTATATACGTTTTCGCCATATTTTTTTTCCTGTTAGAAATTAAGAAAACGGATTTTGTGCAGCCGTAGTGAGTGCCGTCCTCACATAGGTAGTTGTATACTACAAACATGTAGAAGTACAAACGTGAATTCTCAGCTCTCTACAAGCTTTAGTTCTCGAGATATTTGAATTTCAGCCTGGGCCACCTAGCTAGGAAAAGCTTTATTTGGTATTTTTCGAGAACTAAAGCTTGTAAACTGAAAATTCAAGTCTGTGCTTCTACAGGCTTGTGGTACACAACTACCTATGTGGGGACGGCACAGCATCACTTTGGCAAATTCACGAAAATTTTCGTTTTCTTAATTTCTAACAGAGGAAAAAATATGGCAAAGGCGTATACAGATGTTTTATGTGGATCGCGTTTACGTGAGCAGGTAAGAATTTTTTAGGATTTTTATAAACTGAGTTACGATTTTTTTCGATTTTTCGGGCTGCTGAGTCTTTTTAGTTTTTGGCTCAAAACTCGCGGTGGATGAGAGCTGTTGCAAAAGCAAGATGGCCATCTTGTAAGGCTTGCTTTGTCTTATCGAATGGTACTTTGCAACCCATTTAAAAATAAGAAGTGTATGACATATTGCGGTCGAAATTCAAAACGGGCATTAATTTCCGGACAACCTAATACTTCGCTTACTTGACTGCTACTATATCAAGATTTCGCTAAGTTTTATTCCTTGATCGTCTAGGAGAAATCGTTGTTTAAGCGCTGGCATTTCCGGTTATGTCATTTTATGTCATTTCCAGTTGACGTTGACGCCTTCCCCCCCCCCCCCTCTTTAAAATTTTGAGTCGACGCCGTACTGCATAGAAAATGTATTGCATAGTGTGTGTCCCATAGCTTCCCAAAGGTAGCTCTGCAGCGCACACGCCTTGTCTGTTTTGCAAGCCATGGGTTTGCGGAGAACAAGGAAAATGCATGAACAAATTTGTTTTATGCTTTGTTGCCACTGTTTACACCTTTATACAGGGTGCAGAAAAAGTACGTTACCTCAAAATAAATGCAAAAAATCGGCATTCCTTTTCTAATAAATTTGACATAAATTCTAAGACATGAATGTATTCTAGCATTTTACAAAAACTGGCTCAAAAACACTGCTATTTCACGCGGCGGTGGATCTCTTGCGCATCCCATATCAAATCTTGCAACCCCTTTTACAACGGTGAAGAAGTGTGAGTTTTTTTAGAAAAATTCTTCTGTTTCCAACGTTGATTTGAAAATTCTTTTATTGCTTAAGGAATGTTGTACTGTCTTCGAAATATGCTAGAAGTAGGCAGACAGCAGTTGCAGTAGGAGAAAAGTTGGGAAAATTTTAACAAAACAGCGTCTTCGGCGCAACACTGTACGGTCAAAAAATGCGGCCAGAAACCAAGTATAATCGTTTATTGACTCATATGTCGTTTATCAACTCATATGTTATTCCTGTTACTTTTGTTTGATTCTGGAATTTCGAACCATAGTTTGGATCCAATTCATTGAGCAAGAGCAAATCTTATTAGCCCCTTTTCATGAATCTTTGGAATTCGCTTGGTATATAATTTTCCTTGTTTAGCCGAGATTAGACACTGATCCATAATAAGTACAGAGTCCTGGAGAGTAGTTATGCTTTACATACTACCTTAATTTGAAATTAATATCGCTCTTGGTGACATAGTTACGGCCCAGAATTGCGCTCAAACGTTGCGACTCATCGTCGATGATCCTGCTCGCGGTTATCGCTCGTTTAAATAAGCAGAGAAAAAAAAAACGTTTCAAATTAAACCTACCTTATTTGAATCTACAAAGTCTTGCCTACATCTAGGAATCAAAAAACTATAGATTTCCATCTGTGAGAGTTTTTAGGAGGCCAACTGGACAGAACTTTTCCGCACCCTATAGATTTGGTAGCCGGCGATAATGTTCTGTTTCACTGTATTGTGCCAAAATCAATAGGTTGATAGAACGAAGGATTCAGCGAATTGCTTTGAAAGGTAGCTAAAACCATTTTGGGGTTGAAAACATAGGGGCAGTAACTCAGCTCAATTGTTTTGCGCGCAAAGAAGTAGATAAAAAAACATACAGTCAAGATTTGCGCGATCTTTGACTTTTATAATTGAATAAATCATTTGCAGCATTTGTTGCTATGCGTGAAGTGTTGACGGTTATAGAATAGCTTAGAGAATCTTATCTATAGAACAAGTTTAATTTGCATGCGGGAGTAAAGGTTAGCCTACTACACCCTTACCCGATATAAAATTTTACATAAATAATCTTTAGAAGCATTCCGAGAATTTCCTTCACAAATTTTTCTTTAGCATGGGTGCGTTTTGGCAAATAAAACTTTCAAATGGTGTTTCTCTATATCGCAATATATGCGAATTATGAACACAAGGCAACTAAAAATAGGACAGAACTTTTGAAACAGCCTAGCACATAATGTGGAGAATGCGATGTCCATTCACCTACAGTTCTCAATTTACTGGATGAAGGTGATATTGAGAAAATTCCTAGCATACTTCAAAAAAGGATATTGCTGATTGTGCAGAAGCTGTGTTTGGTGCTTGCTCAACACCTTGATTCGAAGACTGCCGAGGCTCCACGAAGGTGAAGACATGAAACATTAGCCCGACTGAATGAAGCGTGTTAGCAATCGTGGCTATCGGCTAAAGAACACGTATACAGATACTTCTTTGTTATAAATAAATAAAAGCTGACTACTTTCCTTTGGATTAATAAAGAGAAAATATATGATTCTTCGTATTGTTCATGTTTGCGTTTCAAACTTTAGAGAAACTCGACTGTGGCAAGGAATTCCTAATCCCAAAGCATACATCGTACAATTAAGTTGTTGCGCAATCTGACCGCAACGACTCTTTATATTTCGCCTTGAGTAAGCTTTGCTTGCTCAAAACACGAAGCATTTGCGCGAGCTTACACAAGCTTTGAGCCTGCCCTAAGAGATCGCACAATGAATATGTAGACATCTAACATCGCCAAATCGCGTAAATTTAGCGATTTTTTGGAATCGCGGATGTGCACTAAGGCTTGCTTTAAGCCATAAGTAATCTCCCGTGTTCGCATCTTAACCTCAATGTGAACTCACCCTCCCTTCATCTGAAATACAAATACAAATACAAAATACAACTTGCCACGCTTGACTTCGTTCCTGACTGTACCATTCAAAATCGTAGCTCAGGTGTCAGACCTTCGTCTTCAACTTAGTGTCGTATGCTTTCGGGGAGTGGACAGCAAAACAAGCTTTGCTTCATAAACTTTGGATTTCAAATTTACGCTGTTTCTAAGTGCTTCTCAACTACTATGTATTGCGCAAGCCTTATTATAACAACCATCCGTATTCAAAAATGTAACATTGTACATTTTCGGATGAAATACAGTACAGCTTCGGGATGTTTATAATAACTTCGAGAAAGACTTTAGTTTTCGTACCGTTCTGATTACTTTGCTATTAGCATAATAGCAGACATGAACTGGCCAAAAAGTACGTGCGTCAAGTCCACTTTCGGCCCTTACACATGCCGCTCGCAGCGTTGCATCACGGTACTCACTGAGCATTACGTTACCATGTTACGTTAGCATCAGCTGATGCACTAGTGCAAATGTCACCATTTAAAAATAATCCCTCACTGGAAAGTTTGGCTCATTTGCGAGTACAGCATCACGTCAATAGTCATAACTGGGCACAGGTGAAAATGGCTAAATGAACTCCATTCGAACAGTAATTTAACAGCCGGCCATTGTTGTACTTTTCGTGCTTATCACCATAAAGATCAAATTCCGTTCTTCACAGTCACATTGGACAGCTGTTAACTTTCCGCTTAGACTGATGCTTTAGACTAACAAGCGCCAGAGTTCTTCGAATTCCTCTTTGATACACACTGTTTTCGGCATGTAAATAAAGGGCATAGATCAAGCCAAGAGAGCTAGGCTTCTTTTGGCAATCGGGGCTGACGGCTAACATCCAATTCTTGAGCTTTCTTTTTTGCAACATATTTATTCCAAGGAAATGTAAGTGGTATTAGGTTAAGCAGAGTAGGTAGATTTTGACCTTGATTTCTACCCTTTTGGACCTTAACCTAAGAAACTTGCGTGTCATAAAGTCACTCGCAGAACATCAACAGTATCTTACTGCTGCTGCATATTCTTTAGGACAGCTTTGCTTAGAATGTAAGAAAAAACAGTATTATTGATAAATGTATGTCTGATTTTTGCCGAAGTTGTAGAGAACCCCTGCAAAATTACTAAACTAGGTCTTTCTGTGTATGAAACATGCGACGTTGATATAACTTTTTACCATCATGTTGGATCTTACGCGCGTCTGAGACCTAATTTTGGCATTCATATGCCCCTCTTTTAGCAGCAAAATCATATTTAAATCAAAGCTTTTATCTACATACCCGTCGCCCGACATCGTACAAGACCGAGTAGAACCTGCTTACTACCATCGTCAAAGGACATCAAAGATTGAAAATCATATTTCGTCACAAAACATCGCTGTTTCCAGGATGCAAGACGCATTGACTATAGGCGTCGAGGCGCTTGGTATTGCTGCCCTTATTCTCAATCTTTATGCTCTACAGATGCTTACTCGTACATGTCAAGAAAAGGTTGGCTCAAGGAAGCCGTACCTTATTATGACAGTTCTAAATGTTTTGAAAGCATTATTGTTTGCGCTCTCTGCTCCGGTGAGTACAAGTCATCTAATGAACTTTGCTTATACACAATTTTAGAGAGCTGTTACTCATGAACATTGCATAGTGTACATCGCTACTGGCATAGTGAGCTCAAATATTGATGGTCTTCTATTACTGCTATTTAATTATACGGAGATGCTCCTGTATCTGCTTACCATACTGAACAGCTTCTTATACAAATACATCGTGCTTTGCAGGTGTGTTTGGTTCCTCATTAAAGGTTTGGATAAATGTACCAGAAAGGGGATGGTTTTACCTCTTTTGAACCCAACGTAATCTGATAGTGACGTATCCATTGAAAAATCAATTTTGAAAAACTTAACTTTTGTAAATGAAAAGCGAATACCACTAAGAAAGTCATCAAAACCGTTTTGTTTCTGCTTCTAAAAGGTATAAGTTAAAACTTAGTTTATGAACTAAGTTTATTTCCGAAGTGCTCATACGCCTTGGTCACCAGGTACCGACAATCGAAGCTTACAGGATTTCAGTGCCAAAAACTCCTGTAATTCTTAAAATGAGTAGGTAGAATTAAGCCGCTCTCTCCTTTTCTTCCAAGAATTGTTTCTACTTGGAGAAGAGCTACCCTGAAACATTCATACCGCAAGCAATGCCAGTTTGTTTCCTTTTTTCTAACTAAAGTCGAATGTTCGCCCAGACCGGCCAATTTCAGTATCAATATTTTTTGCAAAAACAGAAATTTGTACAAATGAAAGTGGAAGATCTTTCAAGTGGTGCCAAACTTTCGGAATAACATTTTGGTCTGATATAAAATTTTCAGATTTGAGTTTGTCAGCGTACACTAAGCAGATGACGAACTACTTTCCCTGTGTATCTACTAACCACTTGCTTTAGTGCATGCAGTTAAACAACTGCTTAGTGGATACCAGACGTGTGTGGCTATATATTAGAAGATTCATAACCCTAAACAAACTCGCACATCCAGGCTTAGAAGCAAGACGCAAAAATCATTAATCTGATGGAATGCTGGTGTGCTTGACTTGCCCCTGTGCGAAAAACTGCGCGTTATTCCCTACATCATCAAAAAACGATCATAATAGTGTACTTAAGCCAGGGCTCGGCACGAGCTGGCACCAGGGAAATCAAAACGAAGTCCCGTTTGGTATTGAAAATTTCGTACGAAGTCCCTTTTGACCTGTTTTGAAAACCCGTCATCATTTTTATATTATGCAAAAAAATGTAGTAGTGTTTTCATGCATTTCTGATTTCATGGAAGAACTTTTCACAGCTTTCTGAGCTTTTTAAGTGGTCGAATCACATCTTGAGAAGCAGAAAAAGCCGATTTTTCGACGGCGGAGCGGACCGAGTGGTTTTCAAATTGCTATAAAATGCTGAAAAGAGAACATTATGGAACTGTTTCTTCTCCGTATGTAATCTTTTGCAGTGTAGATACATTTTATGTAAAAAAGTATGAACAACTTATGTGAGCAAAGTGTCGGTGCCAGCTCAGCTGGCACCCAGCTGGCACGGTGCCAGCTAATTCAGAAAAAAGTTCGGCACAGCTTTCATTCACATAAGTTTTCATAAATTTTCGGCCCGTAGTTTCGGTCCACCAACGCGCATGCACACACCAAATTTGGTGTCATACTATTGCGTTTTGGCTGAAAACAACGCCTTTGTTTGTTGATGGACAGCTTGCCAATGGCATGCCGGTGGCATGCCGGCGGCATTTTTGCGGCAGTTCTCCGCCTCGGCCCCTGTAGAAACGATATCCCCTTTGCTTTCCGCGCTAAAAACGATATCCAGCTTGACCCGGTGCCAGCTGTGCTGAGCCCTGACTTAAGCCGATTTAGGGCTAAAAATAATTTCATTTTCGCATGCAAATTTCCATATAAATTTTTTCTATTGTTTTTTTATCTATGATCTTCTGATTCGAAGTATATAAAGCATCTACTATTACAAATCAAACCCTCAGAATTTATCAATAACAGTAAAGGACGTTATGGCTCAATATGCTAAATTTCAAAAAGCTCATTTCTTTGACCCTCTAAGCTCCGTTTCCATGCTTTAATGGAAACGGAGCTCAGAAGGTACATCTATGTGCACACACAAAAGTAAAGTATTTACGTTACTTTTGTGTGTGCACATACATGTTTCTGTTTTCAGCAAATAACAGTAAGAATAGCAACACGCCATCTATCCGTCTTCAAACGAAAAACACGAAATTTTCTCGTTTGTTCGCGCACAATGACAGATCTGAGGCTTTTCATATTTCAGCTTTCCTTGACAGAGAAACAAATACCAAGATGGAATTTACGTCCCAATTCTTCATTTCGTTCTTTAGAGCACTGTTTTCAGAAATATCAAACACTGGACAAAATTTTGTTTGCAGCATTATAGGAGTATTGTAGGAGCCGATTTATATCGGAGCCCTCAGATTTCTACTGACAAAGGAATGGTCAGAAGTCGAAGTGGCCAAACCAAACGAGCTGTATATCATTCGATGCAATATAAAACGCTGACTTCGATTCTGTCTTCCTTATCTGCTTCCCGCTTCTGTGGACGCTTCTGTGCATCTAACGCTACGCAGCTTATCTGGAATAGCCACTTCGATTTCTGACCATTCCCATGTGAGAACAAATATTCATAGAGAAAACGTAAGATTAGTGCAAAACCTTTCGATAAAACAAGCACTGATTTCTACTAATATAGTAAGTTAAAATTAACTAATTTCCCAACGTCTAAGAGAATTTAATTTGTAGTTCATTGTGGAAAGCTGTGATGTTTCACTGCATTACTTTTGATTAGCATTTCTCTACAGAACGCTGAGGTAGCTTTTGAAATTTGTCATCGCTTTTTCCACATCAGCATGCTACTTCCCCGCGTAGATACTTACTTAGATATTTAGATGGCCCGGCTTCACGTGACGTGCGAGCCCCAGCACAGAAGTTTTATTCAGTTATTTTACTCATTTATCAAATACACCGAAGGCGATGCACCACCTCATAAATGAAATACAGACAGACGAAATATTGAGCGGAGGTGGGAGAAAAAGGCAATAATGACTTTGAATTTGCTCTCACTTTCGAGTCATATCCGAATAACAAATCTTGTAGAGTTCTTATATGAACTCAGGAAGAGAAAAAGCTTATGGGCTGCTGAAAAGACCACGGATGACTTTGTTGTAAGTGTGACTTCTGGGGAAAGGATGTACTTGATGGTGTTGTAGGTAAATTATGTAGAGTAATTTGAATTGCAATGGTGTTAAGAATCAGGTCTCAAAAAATATGAATGGATTTTTTTATTTACTTTTTCAATCCCTGTCCCTCGCTACAGACATCCACGATCTTCTTTTCTGACGTCTGTGGCTGCGTCCGCGGGTTTCAAGTGCAAAAATCGTATCCAGCTAATTTCTCAGCTGGTCCATCCGTTCCGCGAACACGTCTGCCCATCTCGTTGGAGATCTTCCTCGGGGACGTTTTGCTTCGCGAGGAATCCACTCCCGTGTTTTTGGGGTCCCTCTGTCGTCTGCTCTTCTCATAATGTGACCGGCCCATCGATGCTTCGCTTTCGCAAGGTAATCCGCTAGGTCACAACGGGACATTCTTCTCATATCCATACTGCGAAATCCGACTAGACGTTGTTTGTGTCGGGTCATCTTCAGAAGACTGCACTCGAGCGTTCTGTGGGTGGGTAAAGCTTTCGACGTGGCTACGGTGTCAGCCCAAGTCTCAGCTGCGTAACAGAGCGCCGGGAGCGCGGTAGAGTCGAACAAATGGGCACGAAGCTCCGGGCTCGTCAATTGGTCGGTGGCTTATTTTAGAGGCCCGAAGGCTGCACAGGCTGCTCTTCGTCTCCTGTTAAGTTCTTCCCTCAAGTCTTTTTCTCCCTCGTCCCAGTCCAGTGACTTCTTCACCTACTGCAAGGCGCGCTGAATAGTTTCGGCGAAATTGTGTCGCCTTGTTGGACCCCCTTCCCAACTGGGATGGTCAGGGGGCGATGGAACAGCTGTATCGTCGTTGTACAGTCCTTGTAACAGTCGGCTAGTGTCCTCACGTAAGCTGGGTTCACTCCTTGCTCGCTAGCGCTGATAGAATGGCGTTGGTTTCAATGCTGTCGAAGGCTTTCTCGTAGTCGACGAAGGTTAAGACGAGAGGCAGTGGGTATTCCCGGCAGACTTCTATGATTCTCGAAACCGTCTGAATGTGACCCATGCAACTGAATCCCTTGCGGAATCCAGCTTGTTCTTGGGGTTGGGCTTCATCCAGTGTCCTAAATATGCGAGCGAGGATAATCTTCGTGAAAAGTTTGTAGAGCACACTCAGCAGGCATATTGGACGGTAGTTCCGAAGATCCTCCAGTGCGCCCTTGAAGAGAAGGACGGTTTTTGACGTTTTCTACTGGCCGGGAATCCTTTCCTTTTGAAGGTAAGATGTTAGTTGCGACGCGAGAATCTCGTGTAAACGTTGTCCTCCGGCTCGCAGAAATCCGACGGAAAGATGGTCTGGTCCTAGCCGTGGACGTCTTCATGGTCTGAATCGCTGGCACTTTAGCAGTTAGAATTCATGGTGGTACTTCTTTAGTGAGAACAACGGGCATCGGCACGGGTGTTGATGAGCGGAAGAGGCTGATGTAAAAATTCTTCGCGATAGATTCCATTTTTTATCGGGAAGAAGTCGGAGTCCCGTCTTCGTTTAATAGTGCAGCCAGCGATCTTTGCGCTGAAGTCGCCCACAACGAACTTGTAGAAAGGCTTCTCGTTGCGGACGACCGGCTCCACGTCTTCGTAGAAAGCATCTAATTTTGAATCATCAACTACTGATGTTGGTGAGTAGCAGTTGATGATGCTAAAATGGTCTTCTGACGTGGAGGTCTTAGTCGGAGGATGGCTAGTCGCGGTGACAGGATCTCATGCGAATTGACAAGATGGATGGTAGATGGGTGGATGACACAACCAACGGCGTCCTAGGTGGGATCCGATGTACAGGTTTTCTTTCTATTTTTCTAACTGGTAGAGTAACGAAATTTTTTCCCTACAAGAGCAGACTTACTAGGCCTACTCTTGATCTCCACGGGGTGATCCCTGATCCGGAAGTGGAGCGGGGAGGGACCGCCTAGCAAGTTCCAGAGAAAGTCAGACGGCGGGGGTCTGGCTTGGCTGGCTCTTAGCTAGGCATCCGGCCCAAACCGGAAACGTCGAACTCCTTCACAGCTCGAGAGGCCCTGCCAGAGCATACACTCGTTTGTGCATCGTAGCTCGACACCCAGTGTCACCGCCACGCTACGTTGAGGTGGTCGACCATTGTGGGGAAGTTCCCCGCGTAGGCCACATGCACATGATAAGATTAGTGCCTCATCAAATTTTTCCTCATACCGTTTCACCTCTTCATTGATTCTTTTAAGACCCAGATATTACTTCATCTATCAATCTTTCTGGGTCACTGCACCTGGCCTGGCAAATTTCGTAATTGTCTTGAACTGGCTGAGTGGAGTGGTATTACAACTACTGTTTCGCGGAGAACTCGACAAAGCTGAGTTACAAAAGCTATCTGCGACTGCACGCTTGGCCGAGGGCAACATCGAAAAAAACTCTTTTCTTGGGTTTTGCAGCCAGGTAAGTGCAAGTTACATCTTATACAGGTTGAAAGCTTCAATAGTAAAGTATCCTTTGTTGCTAGTGTTCTAGGACGAAGGGAATTGGACTCAGTACATAATGCTTATCGAAACATCTATAACAACTTCCATCCTCTTCATCATTGCTTTGCACTTGGCTCATCAAGTAAAGAAAAAACTCAAAGAGCCCACACTCAGTTCAAGGACACAAGAGCTACAAAACCGTTTGAGTAATATGCTTCACGCTCAGGTTTGTGAATCTATGTCAGTTATTTAGTAGCTCATTTGGTGAAGGCAGCCTGATGATAATGAGATGTAATTATATTAAGGCTCTGAACCTGGCCGTGTTGCTACCAGGTCCGCTTCTACTGCAGCCACTTTTCTTGATCTGCGGGCTCACAACTCCTGCTTCACTTGTTTTTTTGGTTACGATTTCTATCAGTATATTTCACATGGTAAACCCAATCATCACTATTATATCCTTGACAGGTGCTCCTTTTACGAAGAAAGTATCGCAAAGCACTACAACAATCGTAGTTCAGACAGATGCAAATACGTTCAACAAAAATAAACGGAATTTATAACCTTGGCTTTGCTTGACATTTGATTAGTAATATGTCTTCCGCTGTTCCTGAATTAGGGAATTTGCAGGGACGCTACATCATCCTACAATGGATCAACCGTTTTTGCATGATATGGATTAATCATAAATGTCCAAGATACAAGATTCTGTACAGCCCTTTTGAAAATTCACGGTAGCAAAAGATTAATGGAACTTGGTCTGATTTCGTTGTAAAAAATATTGATGATAACAGAAAGATTTACCGCATTTGCACATTCAAAGTTAACATGAATTGAACATCGCAAAGCAGCGTTGAACCGACATGAGAAGGAAGGCAGAAGCGGGTTTGGTTGCGCTAGAAAACATATGAGTTTTTACCAGTCAGGCAATGTCTAGACAAAATCCCAAATTCTAGCTTTTTCGCCTACCTGGATTGAATATGTCCAAGAAGAAAGTGGGAAAACTAGAACAGGCACTTTCTAGAGCCCTTCTCAACAGACTCTAAGTGGGGGATTTCCCCAGGGCTGAAACCAAAGCGTTGTTAGACCCTTTGGTTTTACCCTGGCGAAATGCGCACTACAGCTTTTAGAAAGGGAACCATGTTGGGCGGGCTCTTTCATTAGTACGCATTTCACAAGTGTCAAAGCGTGTTTCTCGCGCGTTATAGCTTTTTGCGCGATACCTTAAGCAAAGGAACCTCCTTTCACATACACCGATTTTACAAAAGCGTTAACCCTGCTTCCTAACACTGCCTTCAGAATGTAGCATGTTATATTGTCTTAGAATGCAAGATTATTGGTGGCCTTTGTGAAGAACCGCATAGCCGGTAGGTACCCTCCGCTGTAAGTACCCCAAATCGGGTAATTGAACCATCTATGGAATACCTCTATTATGTGGAGTGTTACTTTTGCTCGGCGTAAACCCTTTGAACTTCGTACTTTGTAGAAACTTTGTAAAAAGAGTCCGAGCGCCTGCTGAAAGACGCGCTCGCTGAAAGAGATTATTTGACGTGCGCTTGCAGGAAATTTTGTATTGCTGCCCGCTGGTAGAAAACAGAAGTACGCTCGCTGAAGGTTTGGCCACGCTTCAAAATTTCGCTGACCGCTTGCAGAAAAGTGCGAGTTTGGGGACCGCCTGCCCGGCAAGAAGACGACAGTACAATATGACTGATCAATAATGGATAAAATAAGTATGAGAAGCGTAAAATGAGTACGGCCAGTTTTGGTATGCATTCGATTAAAATCGATTAACCAAACTCACTGATGTATATCTTTCACGCTTATATATCTTAGCATTATTTAAGGCAACAAATGTAAGAAATGAAAAGCGCAGAACATGTTTTTGTTTGTTTGTAATTATTTATTCATGTAATGCACTCAGCGGTGCACCAAAAAACACAAGAATGGAGTACAAAGTAGTCGAGCATAAATCTAATAAATACCGCAGACAGTGTGGAAATTGTCCCAGAGGTGGTCAGGTCGTTCTCGCAGTGCAGAAGGTGAAGAGCCTTCAACCGAAATCCCAATTCTCGCTTCGGAGGTGATTTCAGAAACAGATACCAGGTCTTGGATGACCAACAGAACTCTGGCGGACGAGTCCATGGATCTCAAGGCGGGGTCACCAATCCTCGAGCTTTTCAGACGACTGTCCCCTTATGGGAGAACGGGCCAAAAACCTCTAATTTCGGAAATTAAGAGGAACCTTGTAAGCTGCACTAGTCAGAAAAGAACAGCATATAACGGCAGTACGGTAATGATAGCTAGGAGAGTACGGTAGTGGTACAACACCTTTTGAGAAAAAGGAGTTGTGAGCGAAACTGATCGGCTCCTCTTGCTACCATTGTGCAGCCAGTGAGAAACCTCGAAAAGGTCACGTTAAGAATCTTTGAAGTTTCTATAAAATTTAGGTTAGTAGGAGGAAATTAATTTGAATGAGAGCGAGCTTGATGATTTTCAATGACCTCCTCTTCCTTATTATTTGAGCGCGAGTACTATACAGCATGGGCATGTATGAGTGTAGACTTAGTGTAGTGCAGTACGAGGAGAGCTTGCAACGTTTACAGGATGTGATTTCGTAGCTTGGGCAAAATTCGTCCTAAATCTTCTATTTTCTTACGAATAACTTTGCATACCAGGTTTCTCTCCGTCACTCGTGGAGAAACTGACAACTCACCATTGTACCACGTCCGCAAAACATCCCCTATCTTAATTCATCCTCTACACGCCAGTTCCCTGTCTGACTGTTTTATTTACCATGCTCACCCTCCCTATGTGTACTGAACTCCTCTCCCCCCCCCCCCCCGTTTCCTTACTAACTTCTAGCGCCCACCTTAAAGGCAGTGTCCAGGCAAATCTGGGCGCAGGCTTTTTCGCCTGAAAATTGATGAGGGGTCCTAACTAGTGCAGTGCCCAAGGGGCAGCGTAAATTGTTCATTCACGGCTGAGGAATCCGTCCCCGAAAACCCCGCGCCTGCGTCGTGATCGTAAGCCAAAAGCGACTTTGCTCACTTTAGAACTAACGATGATTTAGCGCTGGCCATCCTAAGTGTTACGGTCATGGCGCAACCGCGGAGTGTTTATAAATGGATTTCTCAGCCGTGAATGAATCTTAGCTAGAACCTCCTCACCAGTTTCCAAGCAAAAAACCCATACGTCCAGATTTGCTGGACACTGCTTTTAAGGGTTGCCAAAAATCACTATGACTGATAAGTGGAATGATGGTTTTTCTGTGTAGTGAGCATGCTAACATAAACCCTACATCGATCAATAGCATGAATTGATTAAATCGAAGTTTCCGATGTGTGTTACAAACTACAACACACATTACAGTCATAAAAGTATATCATCCAAGTTATAGTCGTCCTCACCCTACTAGTCTGTCGGTGGACGGATTCAAATTTGAGTTGGAGCAGGACTGTCGCGGCAGGCGGGGCACCTGAAACCCCTCCCCGTACGATTTTGCGTGTTTCTTTATCGCTTTCATTGTTACTTGCTAGTCTCTATATTATAAGCATGTTTGTAGAAAGTGACAATTTTGTTGTTCTCGGAAGTTGTTTCGTGTTGGTTAAGCTCGTTTCTTCACTCTGATTGCAGGTAGGCCTGTAAAAACGATACAGATGTTGAACTTATGTTATAAACCCTTTTTAAAATATGTAACGGTTGCTCCAGCGGATTATATGCTCAAAATTTGCCATCTGCATCGTTTCCAAAAGCGCACTCATACAAAATACGAGCATAGCGGCAGGAGGCAACGCTCAGCAATTACAAAAACTCAATATAGGTCAAAAACTTTGTAACAATGCAAATTTTAAGCTGGCGAAGAAAAACGCAAAGCGTGAATTTGAATGGAGAGCTAAGGTGCCGTGCTCCGCCACGATCTGCTTGCTCCATTTTAAATTCAAATTCGTCCACCAATCGACTAGTGGGGTGAGGACGACTATATTGTTTGAGCACTTTAGATATTTTGATATTTGTTGCGGAACTTGTGCAATAATCGCAAAAATTGTTTGCACTGAATCCTCATTTTGACGCCGGCGCATTTTCTTTCCCCTTTGATCCCTTTTTTGTGACCGTTTTCAAGGGTTTTGTGAGCTTGCCAATCTCTGTGTCTTAAAGGCAGTGGCTCGGCAAATCCTCGACCGAAAGTTTTTTTGCTTACATGGGGTAATTCGACGCGCTGATTTTGGAAATACACATTGAAGAGCACGAAAATGTCGACCCGTATTTTCCAAGCGTTCTCATTCTGAATTTGGACGAGTAGACCTTAAAGACGTAGAGTCGTTGCGGGACCCTCATGTTTATAGCATTGCGGCATGCCGCCTCTGCCGGTGGGAGGGGGATCGCAAGCTTGTCCGAGCGCGTGTAGGAATGGCTTGCGAGCACGGGTTTAGTGATTTTCTAGGCAGGGACACATGTATGCGGACGCTTGGACCTGCTTTTTTCTGGTGTTTGGGATGCAGCCAACCTTTCATATCAGAATTTCGAGATGTTTAGTTTTGCCGAAACTGCCTTTAAGGTCACAGAAAAAACGCATTTCTGGGCCACGCAGGCTTCAAAATTGTAAAAGGGAATGGCGGGCACGAGACTATATATCACCGATAGTTTCCACCCCGCGCACAGCTGGTGCAAATCTGCAATGTCTGTAATGTGTGGAGCTGCGGGCTTTGTCACACATGTTTGTGTAAGACCATCCCCTTTCGTCAACAGATAATCCTCCACCCGGATTTGTCTTTGCGATGGAAGCACATAGAGATAGCAATTCAATGTACTTAGGATAACGTTCCTCTCACCACAAATTAATCTCGAGTGCCAATATATCTGCCCCATGCACCAGCTCTCAACGCTCCAGCTTCACTTAGCAAAAATTGATGAATAAATGTATGGTGGACTAGAAACTTCCATGAACAGCATGCTCACTTACCCGTATAACAACCAGGAATGATATCCACGAAAGTCCCCGCGAAATGGGCTTTCGTGCGAACAAAATGGAGTCCATGCGGTGCGATAAGATATCGCATCCGCGAATCCATTCATTCCGTACAAAATTTCCTCAGTAAACCTTTCTCCAACTTGCCTCAACCTGTTTACTCACTTTTGCAAACTCATTTCCACCAAGTGGTTGATATCTACCTGATTAGGTTGACCTAACATTGCGTTGTCAGTCACGCAGATATTGTATTCTTTCTCACACCATTACACCTCATAACCATTTGTTGTCGATGACTTGCATCTAGATTACTTCCAAGACTAAAATTCATGCGATATCCGGGCCTTCGCTTTACAAAGATTCTATGAACTTGCATTAAATCAAATTCATATGTAGAGCTTTCTGCAGAAAGCAAACTTTGGCTTGCATTGCAATCTGTGAATCAAATTGTTTATCTCATAGGAAACCTTGTACTACACTACAACCCAAAGGGTTCTTTAACCCCTACGCGTCTGCAAGAGATAACTTCGCAAATGTTCTACTTTAGCTCTTCTTTGTCTTTCAACGCTAATGTTTATATCTCTAAGTAGTTGAATA